CCCTTAGCGTTAGCAACGCTGACAAAAGGTAATCAAGAGACGCAAAAAATTATAAAGCCTAAATGTGCTTTTTATCAGGCGCAGCACCGAAGTAGTGAGTGAACCGAATTTGCGACACTCGACAGCAAGCGAGAGAAAATTAAATAGCTCCAGCTCTGCTGCAAATGCTTGCAAAAAGGGCATCGAGCAAAAGAGTGTAAAACTAAGCTGCGTCGTTGCTACTCGTGGAGGGGAAAACATCAAACGGTTCTGTGTCACGAAGTTTTCAAGACCAAAGAAAAAACGCAAGTCCATATAGCCGGTACAGGTCTTGATTCAGCAGTACAAAATAATGAATCTCTGACTATATCCAGTATAGTAGAATCAAAGATTCAGCAAGTTGAAAACAGCCCACATACTTAGTCCGAAAAACCGTTCTTCTCATGAGAAAAATGGTAACGGTGAGAAATCCTAGTGAGAAATCCTAGGTGCTTAGCATCTTTGATCTTCGACTTGGGCAGCCAAAAGTGGTCATAACCGAGAGCCCAAGTAAGGAGCTGTAACTATGTGGCGAATCCCAAGAATGCTTGACTGTGTCCGGATTTGGCGAGAGGCTGACCAAAAAGTATGACAGTAGGAAGATAAAAATGGCGACAGAATTGGACCCAGGCTGGAACGCACCAGGCCGACCCGTGCGATCATGCGTTTTTGCACAGGACTTGAAGTACTCAGGTTATTAATTGCATGAATGGTTGTTGCTTTACACCTACCTTTTGCGATCACTTGCAGGTGCCAGTTCCTGGCAACATTCATTCACCACAGTTTGTCTTTTCCAGTAGAAAGTATGGAAACGTGTATGGATGAAAGTGGAAGTTGCAGCTTGGAGGATAATTCAGTTCTTATGTGGACATCAGAGCAGACTTTTTGTCCGTTTACACGGAAATGGAAGAGACACATTTTGGGAAACGTTTGATTGATAGAATTGAAAGAATTCGCCCTAACTCTTGTAAATCAGACCGCGCAGGTAAGAGATTGTAAACGGGGTGTGATAATCACTGATCAAAACTTTGCACGAAATTTTCACAATCAACAAATGGCAAAGCGCAAGGTAAGGTTTGTTACTTGGAGTGCCGTAGTCACTGATAGTCAGTTTTACCTTACCGGCACTGCCTGAGTAAGAACGGGATGCATTGAACAATTGTAAATCTAGACCGCGATCAACTATTTCTAACTATCTTTATGATATACCCGAGGGTGGTAATAAAACAGCTGAACAGGGCGTAGAATGCCAAAGTACGGTGAGAGGTCATAGATATAATTTACGCTCTCAGCAGTAAAGTAATAATTTACCATCTTATACTTATTATCATCAAAGGATCAAGAATATCCTTTCGTTTTCTTTTCTCTTTGTTCTTTTTTTTACCGGGAATACTTGTGGCTCGTGTGTTTTCAAATATCTTATACTCTTTCAGTCTGCTTAAGCCATCCTGAATGCAACGATGACCTTCTACTCTCAAAAACAATTGGCTTTATACTAATACCTACACTTATGGACAATAGCAGTGCATGCTAATACCAGAATAATTAGAAATTCGATAATAGGCCGATAACATACATGAAGAAATAGACAACAAGAAAAAAGAAGGAAATCGACGAAACGCATATTGCAGTCAATCGACGAAACGCAAACAGCAAGCGATTTCCGGTGACCTTTGAACGAAAAAGCATTACTCCAGATACAACGCACAGCAATTCAAAAACATCTGTGCTCAGTATGGTAAGGGTACAGGACAATCCTTACACAATAATAAGCTACATCTTCTCCCACAGCCTTGCTAGCGGGATAAACACTGCATTTCGAATACATCGGCCTACCAGAAGAGATCGCCTCTCGTCAGTCGGTTTATTTATTTATTTTTTTTTTTGTTCTCTGCGATTTATTAGTTCTAACAACTTTTTCTTTTCTTGGCCATAATTTAAAATGAAAAGGCATGGCTTCATTGTTAAACAACCCTACTTCATCTCGAACAGATGAAAGCTTTTCAGTTCAAGAGCCTGATGAAAGTGTTAAATGGAGCAACAGTTCCAATGCCTTTACCTTAAAATACGGACAGCGTTCAGGTACTAGAAACGCATTTCAAGCCCCTCCCCTGAATGAGCCTGTGTTTAAGGCTTAATCAAGTTACAGCCATCAGGTACAATCGTGTCTCGGCAACACACGCAAATGAACCAGCACATTCTGTAAAAAAAAAGCTGGGCGTGCATTTTACCGGTATAAAACGAATATCAACAAGAAGGTATGTTTTTGCTGTGAAAAAAAAGAGTAGATACTCCGTGTATAAAACTTACCAAATTACTATTTTTTCTCTCTTTTCTTTTTGCTGATTAAAGAGTCAAATTAAAATAAAATATAGGTGGTTTGTTCAAAAAATATAATAACGATATTTGATTCAGAAGAAAAGCTTCTAGCCGTTTACCCCGAGCAACAGTTCAAGATTATATTAGTGACAGGATCAGTGCTATATTCCCGGACAAAACGCCTTATCAACAGATATCACGGAAATCCCGGCCTTTTATTTTCTTTAGTAAGCTTATTAGTGCTGTGCCTCTGTAAGTAAGTTCATCATGTAAGTTGTACAATGCCTTAAGCAATCCTGAGTGCTGGAGTGTTCGTTTTCTTTTGTGTACGTTGATATTGGAGTATGCAT